CCCCCGCCCCCCACTCCACCGGCACCTCGCCCTCCAGCTCTTTTTCAGCACGCTGGATCGGTGTCGTTGGCGGGGTTGTTTTGTGTGGACGATGTCCTATTGTCGGGCAGGCCAACTTAGAAAAACCAGCTGGGGAGGGGTGGTGGGGGTAGGGTTTTTGGTGAGAAGAAGAGGGAGCTGGATGGGATGTATGGGGCGCTTGCGAGTACCGCTTAACTCCTTTCTGTGGAGACACAGTTAGGGATCATTACCATATGATTTGGTGATCAAGACCACGTCTTTTGGCAACTATCCAGCCCCAGGATTGGCGGGCACCCGAACTCCGGTATCTCTGTGGTGGGCAATTTGGGAGGAGGATGAATCGCCACAGGATGAGTGGTGACTCGTCAGTTACTTGTTCCACTTAACTTTCTCTTTGGGCCCACTTCGTAGCATATAAATAAACTGATACAAGACAACCTTCGATTAGACATATCCTTTTTGTATCAAATAACCCTAGGGGCTTAGTATGTCTAATAAACTAATGTATAAATTGTGTATGTTTTTTTATCCCAATCATGTCTACTGTGGGTGTACGTAATGGAATATTGTTCTTTGTCCTCTAGTCCCAAGCATACAGTATAAGAATCAATAGGAAAAGAAAATAGGTGATTACAGACCGTGTCGTTTTGTTTTTGTGGGTGTTGTGTTTTGAGGGGTGTGTGTGTGTATGTCAGTTGTGGGTGGGCTGAAATTTGTGTGTTTTAGAGTGTTTGTAAGGCAATAGGTTTAGATGTTTAATGGTATTTATGTTACAAGTGTGTTGGTTTGTTTAGAATGTTGCACCATTGTGTTTTGTTTGAACTTTGTCTTCGTGATGTTTGTTGTATGCGATGGTTGGTTCACCGGCTGTTGGAGTCGCCTTCAGAGGCTGTGAGGAAAGAGCGGGTATTATAAACTAAAATAAATAGAATTCAGTAGTACTTGTTGATCAAAAAAAAATTGGTTGTAAGAGTACCTGTGTTGTCGGATGTGTGTAGGTGGGAAAGCGGCGATGTTCAATTGAAATGGATTTGCTGAAATTTTTCTTGGAATAAAAAAGATCGGGATGAGTATCGGGGAAATTTTCGAATCAGCGTTCGTGCTAATGGTAATGTGTGGACCTGTCGAGGAAACATATTATAGTTAAGTACTTTGGCAAAAGGCCAGAAAGCCTCAATCAATACATGTGTTGTAAAATGACACAGTTTGTGTCGTTTCTTTTGTTTGTGATTGGTTTGTGCTGGTGTAGTACCGATGGATTAAGTAGTGAGTTGCAGTTAGGATGGTTATGTATGGGATGTATGTACCCAAGCCAGTGGGATAAAAATGTCAATATCACTATCCGTTGGGGATCTCCCTGTTTCGTGGATAGTATTTACAGTTCTAGCTATTTGTTCCTGTGTGGGTATGTCCATCTTTTTAAAAGCGATTTAGATCACCCTTAAGGGTGGCCGTCTGTCCATACTGGCGGCGAAGCTGGGTGATTGGCAGGAGGATGAGTTGGTGGAAGTTCCTGCCAGGGAGAGGGAGACATTGTGAGGGATTTTTAAAATACTCTTGGACTTTGTTAGCTTGTGTGTGCGCAAAAATTGCGTTTAATGTGTCTTTGAATAATGAAAATAAACTTGTGGAGGGGAGGACATCCAAAATAATTCCAAAACAGTATGGCGGTAAGTGGTTTTCATATCGATAATTGCGCTCTTACCACACGGTTGATTCCGGCATGGCTGGAAAATGCTAGGTTCAAAAAGAGGAAATTAATGTCTGATATTAAATTCCTATTTTTAGAGAGCTGCTGAGTAATGAACTTGTAAAATGCTCTATTATGTCAGGTCTAAAAATTTGCTATAACTCTGGGATTTTATACTTGTCTGTTAAGCATTTGTAGGTGATGAATTAATTCTAGTGTATAGTCATCAAATTCCGGGGGAGAGGGCGGTGAGCTCCCATGCTGGCTGAACTCCAGCTGTCTGCTAAATCTGTAGGCAGGTGAGAGAAACATGGGCAGAATGTGAAGGCTAGATAAAGTAGGTACTTGCTTTACGTTTGTCAAGGTCTGCTTAAATGTAGTGGTTCTCAGGACATGTGTGGGGTTCCTCCAGGTCGGTTTTTTGGCCTGGGTAACTCCCAGAAAAATCGGCCGTTAAGTGTTGTTGGAGGATCGCTCTATGTGGAAGCTGTCTGTGGTTAAACAAGGAGGGGCTGGGTGATGGGCCATGGGTCAGGGTGGTGAGTTTTTAAATGCAAGTTATTTCTTGCTTTTTTCGGCATGAGGAGTTGGGGTTGGGAACTGGGATTGGCTACGATGAGGTTTTACCTGTCTTCCATACTCTTTTTGGGATTTGCTATGATGTTTTCTAGGTCTCGTGCGGCTCTTTGGGTCCCTGTTGGGTTCGACTAATTGTCTGTCATTTTGCCGGTTGGATGGTGTCAATGGTAGTAGACGCCCGCAAGAGGTGAGAGGTATCCCTTCTGTCCTTTGTTGTCGGAAACACGTATGCATTTTGTTGGAAAAGTGCTTAGTTTATGTGTTATTTATTCTTTATTTAGTAATTTGATTGTACTTCGTCTTGTATATGCCGACAATTCTGCAAGGCCGCCTAGGGTGCGTGATAGGCCTCACTGGGTTGTTTGTGTACAAGCATGAGAGAACACAGGTGGCAAAATGACATGTACCTGTGTAATAACATAGTGTACAAAATTAATCAAATTCCTGTGCTTTCATGTTCATTTCAAAAAACATCTCTATCAAAAGAAATCATGTCAACATTATACATAAGAAATCTTCCAGTACCGAGGTTGTCTTTATGCGTCAAAACGCCACGAATCCATTAGAAGTCATTTCCGTTCGGTGTTCTGCAGTTCCTGGATGGTCAAAAGATTACCAATATCCGATTGCATCGTTGCTTGGCCAAAATTGGCCTCTTAATACACAGCCAGGGTCTTAAATTTGTTCGAGCGTGGTAATATCAAACAGGGAGGGATGCTAGTCATGTGTCCCAACTGGGAAGGGAGTGTCCATCTAGCCGAGGATTGCAGACCACGAGAAGGCCCTATCTTACTGCTGCACACGGGCCTAGCCGTATGCCTGTGAGGCAGTGCTGGGCGAATCGAGTAGCAGGGCTCTCCCCGGGAAGATGCTCGGAAGATCCTTGTGGGATCAATAGGCAGGAGGTGCGGTCAGTTTGGTAGGTATTCTTGGGCCGGAACGTCAGCGAGAATTGCCAGTGCAGTTTGGGTTGCGACAAGGTTATACTTGTAGGGAACCACCAATAGGCTCTGGTTAGGAGCATTGCCGGGACAATGAAGTTCTAAGGGGGAACATGGGAAAGGCACTGATAATAGGTGGACTGACTGGTCAACCAGAGGAAATTTCAGCCATGGGAATAGGCAGGAGCACCTGATGAACCAGCCTGGACACAGCATATTATCTGAGAACACAGAAATGCTGGACCACACCAACAACCACCATGTCAGACTACACAGAGAAGCCATTGAAATCCACAAGCATGTGGACAATTTCAACAGAAAGGAGGAAACCATGAAAATGAACAAAATCTGGCTACCAGTATTTAAAAAACTCTAAAATTAGAACAGCAAAACAGCAGAGAGGAAACAATCAGGGACATCTAATCACCTCTCAACAAAAGATTTTCCCAGGCTCAGCCAGGCCTTCAAATGCTAATCAAGGTGTGTCAGTTGAAACATTCACACCTAGCTTGCAGCAGACAAAGAGGTCCTTTGTGCCAGCCCTGGTTCATTTCCAAGCTGATAGTATGTATGACCCCATTGATCCTATTTCTAAACATGAATTTGGGTCGTCATGTACCTGTAGTGAGGATTGCTTTTTGCACATAGATGCAGGCGAAAAGTCAGGAGAAATGCCTCTAGAACAGTGGTTGGCCCTAGTTATCCCGAAAAAAACCAACGAAGGTAACACCAGTGAAAAAGGATGGGGTTCTGCTAAGAGTGGGAAGGAAGCGCGATAAGGGCAGCCCACAGCTGAAGATCCATCTTAGCGCCCTCTGTAGGCCGAGTGTGTTGAGTGTCGGTCGTCCGCTTTTACTAGAGAGAATTGTGGAGATATGGAACGGAATGGTACGTCCCTTTAGCTGGGTAGTGTTGTGCCTGCCGAGGCGGTGAGAGTAGGGATCGTGTGCTGCCGGATTGATGAGAATCAGCTGCCTCCGCAGGGAAAGATGGCTGCAGCTAGGTGGATGTCATCTTATGGTCCTGGAGGGATGGGAGGGCAAGGGGGCCCGTGGTGGGATCCGTGCCAAGGGCGCTCCTTCTACGATCGGGTGGGAGAGGCTCGGGAGGGTGAGGCGAAGAGGGGACTCACCGCCCTGCCCCACAGAGGAGGGTCGCTTCTTGTCTGCTGCCTGGAAATACGGCGGTGGGGGAGAATGAGAAAAAAGATATTGAGGTAGAGCTAAATAGGCAAGGGGAAAGGGAGCAAGCCACATGGAGGAGAGATCCGGGAGAGGTAGGTGGTGTTTGGGTGCATTAGAGATCACTAGTGTAAGAATCACAGGTTGAAGATGACCTGTACGGGACCGGATTCCAAGTCCAACCCCATTCTGCCAAGAAGCAGGAATATTGCATTCAAATCACCCCTGACAGAATGGCCATCCAGCCTCTGTTTAAAAGCTTCCAAAGAAGGAGCCTCCACCACACTCCGGGGCAGAGAGTTCCACTGCTGAAAGGCTCTCACAGTCAGGAAGTTCTTCCTCATGTTCAGGTGGAATCTCCTCTCTTGTAGTTTGAAGCCATTGTTCCATTGCGTCCTAGTCTCGCAAGGAAGCAGAAAACAAGCTTGCTCCCTCCTCCCTGTGGCTTCCTCTCACATATTTAGACATGGCTATCATATTTATTTATTTATTTATTTACTGAGCTTATAGACCGCAATTCTCAGCCCAAGGGCGACTCATTGCGGTGTACAACATGGAAACAAGTGCAAATTACAAGACATAGTGTAAAATAATCCACAGTACATCATTATCAAAACATCTCATCAAAAACATCAACATTACTACAAGCCATTCCGAGTCGTCTCATTGTCAAGTTCACAATCCGATACCATTTCCGTTGTTCCATTCCTATGGTCAAATTACCAGTCATTGCACTTCTTGATCAAATGCCTTCTTAAACAACCAGGTCTTTAACTTCCTGTGGAATATCAACAGGGAGGGGGCTAGCCTGATGTCCATGGGAAGGGTGTTCCACAGCCGAGGAGCCACCACCGAGAAGGCCCTATCTCTCGTCCCCGCCAGCCGTGCCTGTGACGCAGGCGGGATCGAGAGCAGGGCCTCCCCGGAAGATCTCAAAGGTCCTCATGGGTCTTTTCTGGGATCTCATTAGGCCGAGAGGCAGTCTAGTCATATCCCTTGTCTACAGAACTTGTCTTTCGCTGTCAGTGATTAAACTTATGTCACCTAACTGCTGTTCAATGTCCGCGTTTTGGGGTTCTCCCGAACCTGTGAGTAATTTTAGTTGCCCTTCCTTGGAACACATTCAAGGTGGTCGAATAGTGGCGTCTCTGTGAAAAGTGTTGGGGTGTCCCAGAATTGTTGGCAACCGACGTTATTTCCAGGTTTGGGGTTTCTCACCCAGAGCCTTAGAATTAGAGGGATAGATTGCTTCCCGTAGATCTAGGGTAGGCTACATGCTGTTCTCCTTAGTTGATGCAGGCAAAATTGACCCATTTGGCGGTTGTTTTTTGCCTGCTCAGCATTACACAGATTATGGGATCATATTTAACTTGTTGTCCACGAGGACTCCAAGATCTTTTTCACACATACTGCTCACGAGCCAGGCACCCCCCATTCTATATCTTTGCATTTTGTTTTTCCTGCCAAAGTGGAGTATCTTGCATTTGTCACTGTTAAACTTCATTTTGTTACTTTTGGCCCATCTCTCTAATCTGGTCTTTGGGAAGGAGAGCCACCCCCTCTCTCTCCTTGAATCTTTTCCTTCCAGGTCCAGAAGCCAGTCAGCAATTCAACATAATAATAATAGCAATAATAATAATAACAATAACAATCTATATAAATAAAAATGTAATGTTCATTTGTGGGTTTAACAGAACTCAAAAACCACTGGGGCAATTGGCACCAAATTTGGACACGAGACACCTAACAACCCAATGTATGTCCTTCACTCATAAAAACACAACAAAACGCAGCAGAAGAGACTTTAAAAGCCCCAAAAAGCTAAATGACAGAAAGCTAAATGACGATACAGAAAAAAGGGGAAGAGGGAGGGAAGGGGTGAAAAGAAAGAAAGAGGGAGAGAAAGAAATAAGGAAAGGGAGAAGGAAGCATGGAAGCAACAAGAGAAGGAAGGAAGGAAAGGGGTAGAAAAGGAAGAAAGGAGAGAGAGAGGGAGGGAAAGAAAAAGGGGGAAGGAAAGTTAGAGAAGGAAGGAAGGAGAGAAGGAAGGAAAGAGGGAGCGAAGGAAGGGGGGAAGATGTAGAGAAAGAGGGAGCGAAGGAAAGAGAGACAGCAGAAGAGAAAGAAAAAGGGGGGAGGAAGGAAAGAGATAGAGAAGGAAGGAAGAAGAGAAGGAAAGACGGAAAAGCAGGAAGGAAAGAGGGAGTGAAGAAAGGAGGGAAAGAAGGGGAGAAAGAGGGAAGGTTGGCCACAGCAACGTGTGGCGGGTACAGCTAGTAATAATAATAATAATAATAATAATAATAATAATAATAATAATAAAAACTTTTTTAATACCCTGCTCCATCTCCCCCAAGGGGACTCGGTGCAGCTTACATGAGGCCACGCCCGTCGATACAATACAAACAATATAACACAAAAACATAATAGAACCAAACAAATACATAAAATGCAAATCAATATAATATACGACACAGCAAAATAAAATCAAGCATTAAAAACAGAAAATTTCACTAGGCAGGGCCAGATTCAAGAATAAAAAAAATTCAAAACTTTAAAACACTGGGAGATAGGACAGTGTAAATTATAAGGAGGAGGATCCGGGAATGAGGAAGGACTTCATTGCCCAAACCGTAAGATAAAGTGCTTCTAAGGCAATTTGTGCTAAGTGTSGTCAGGGAGAAACTTAGATTCAATCACTGAAGCTCTAGGTGCCCTTACTGCCTACTACAGGGAAAACCAGTTGATTCCTAATCCATCTAAAACACAGACATGTGCCTTTCATCTCAAGAACAGAGAAGCATCCCGAGCTCTGAGAATGACCTGGGAAGGAATCCTACTGGAGCATTGCAGCGCACCCAAATACCTGGGAGTCACTCTGTGCTCTTATTTACAAGAAGCACTGCCTGAACATCAAGCAAAAAGTGGGTGCTAGAAACAACATCATACGAAAGCTGACTGGCACAACCTGGGGATCACAACCAGATACAGTGAAGACATCTGCCCTTGCGCTATGCTACTCTGCTGCTGAGTATGCATGCCCAGTGTGGAACACATCTCACCACACTAAACAGTGGATGTGGCTCTTAATGAGACATGCCGCATTATCACAGGGTGTCTGTGCCCCACACCATGGAGAAATTACACTGCTTAGCTGGTATTGCACCACCTGACATCCGCTGGGAAGTACCAGCCAATAGTGAAAGGACCAAGGCAGTGACATCTCCAGCTCGTCCCCTGTTTGGGTATCAGCCAGCACGCCAACGACTTAAATCAAGAAGTAGTTTTTTAATACTGATATTGTACTATGCTAATAATATATATTGTATGTATATATGTCTTGTAAGCCACTCTGAATCCCCTTCGGAGTGAGAAGGGCMGCATATAAGTGTCGTAAATAAATAAAATAAATAAATAAACATCCTTCCTCYAGAGTATTCCTATGAGCTCGTTCATCTTGTTTTGTTTGCAGGCCCCACCAGTTGTCCCAGTCCTTCTGCTTTGAATGTCATTTGAGAGAAGACGTGAACATACTTTCGTCCAGTTTGGAGGCAGCCTAGAAGCACAAAACCAAGATGGAAGGGAAAGAGCCAGCTACTGCCAYGTCAGAAGGATTTTCTTCTGCTGTTGAGGCAGAGAACAATACAGCATTATTGGAGGACCRTTGGCGGAAYGATCGGGAGAGCAGTCTGCTCCATTCAGACCTTCAGCGCCAGCGTTTCTTGCATTTCCGCTATGAGGAGGCCTTAGGGCCCCGAGAGGCCTGCACCCGCCTCCACTCTCTCTGCCGCCTGTGGCTGAAGCCCGAGCAACACTCCAAGGCGGAGATGCTGGACCTGATGATCTTGGAGCAGTTCCTGGCTGTCCTTCCTGCGGAGATGGAGTGCTGGGTGAGGGAATGTGGGGCAGAGACCAGRTCCCAGGCCGTGGCCTTGGCGGAAGGCTTCCTCCTGAGTCAGGAAGAGGAGAGGAAGCGGCAGAAGCCCCAGGTGAGAGATTTTCATCTTGTCGTTTCAAGGAACCAAGAATAATTGTTTTGAAGGATTCAGTTTCAAGTAGCAGCCAGCAAAATAGATGAATGCAATTT